TATTCATTTATTTATCGCTGTTGTTGTCGTTGTTGTTGCTGTTGTTGTTATTGATGTTCTTATTGTTGTCTGTTCCGGTTGATGCTATTGTTGCTTTTTAGTTTGAAATACATACCCCCCCCCTTCACACACACACACACACACACACACAAACACACACCAACTCCCTGCCTTTCTCACCCAATAGGAGAACAAGGATTTGCAGGTTCAACGTCCTAACAAAATGTTTGGTCTATTAACAGCGTTAGCTATTTGTTATTAGGCAGGTAGTCTATTGACACCCACTGCTTTTTTTCAGGGAAAAAGTTTTTTCAGGGAAAAAGTAAAATACAAATCAAGAATAATACCAACCGCGACAGAAAAGAAAAAAAACAACCCTCAAGCAATTAAAATGTAACGACAATAGACTAAAAAGTAATTATACGTGAATTAAATGCTTTACTAATGTTGCCCCTATCGATACGCTTTAAATCCTTTTGGAAGCAGGCTACTCGTACTTCGGTTCTGACGTTAGCGTAAACATGGGATGTGTCAGACACCACCAATAAACAGTTTTTAAAAAGCCCTTGGATTTGAAGAAAGTACGTCGACACAATAACGGTCATCTAGTGCGAGCAGGAGAAAAACTGAACTTAGTTTAGTTTAAGTAGAGGGTTTTACGGCGGTTGCAACTGCATAAGGTCATATGAGCGCCAAGGGGTGGATGTGAACAGAGCAGTCTTTACGGAAATCAGACTTACTCTGCTCACCTATCTAGTTTCAACAGCACTAAGTCTGGTTCATTTATCAAGGCACCCCGGAAATAGTGGGTCACAAGAGAGTGACAAACATACAAAAGAAGTGGAACAGAAATGACGATAGTAAGGATTAGGAAAGAAAAAGCAGCAGTTCCCTGTGGTAGTTCAGGCACAGTTATGAGCATGACATTGTTATGAATCCGCCCATTTACAATTACAATTCTACTGTGCATAAGAACTCGAGATGTTAATGCCCCCCCCCTTTTTTTGGAATGGCCTAAAGACACTTCAGTCAGTAGCACCGCCACGGGGGGTAAAACAGAACTTAACCGCCCCTGTGAGATAAATAAAGATTGCCATTGTCATTGTCAATGGGTAGCAGTTTGGCGCTTTGCCGTCTTACGTAGAAGACCTGCATTCGATTCTCGTGTGGGCGAGAATTATTCATAATACATAGCATTTGTATAGCGCATGTCCCAACTCGAAAGCCAACTCTTTGCGCTTTACATTATA